GGTTTTTAACCCTAATATTGATGTGCTATGGGGAGCTAGTCTTTCATAGCAGCCCCTGGAGGAGGAGTTTGGAAACCATAGGCTTTAGACCTTGAAGGCTGAAAAGGGGTAGAGGATACTGTGGCTGGGAAGGAAATGTGGAGGAATCTTGTAACTTTATCTCTATGAGAAGATGATGGGCCACCACCGTAGGGTGACTGGTATCCGATACCAGTCACCCTAGTGACAGTGACAGGGCCTTGAGGTAGGCAGGATGGCTGGGACCCAGTCATTGTGAGAGAGAAGTAGTGAAAAGGGAGGTGAAGGTGGCCTGCAGGACTGGGCCAATGGCCGGAGGGTGAAAACCACCTGAGCACCAAACTGATAGAATATGTCTCTTCCCAGGAGTGGGGTAGGACATTGAGTATAAGGAGAAAAGAGTGGGAAAAGGACATTGTATTAATCATGCAAAACAGGTTGGGGATCTGTAGGGGTGTGTAAGGTTTTCCTTCCAACCTGACTATGGAGGTTGAGATAGTAGAGGTTGGCTGCCAAAACTGGGTAAGGACTGAGAAGGTTGCCCCTGTGTCAATGAGAAAAGAAATTTGCCTACCTGCTATCATCACAGTTACCCTGGGCTCCCACAGAGTGATGGCCATAGTTGGGTAGTGGGAGTCTGGGCTCCTTCAGTTCTCAGTAGCCAGCCCTAAAAGGCCAAACCAGGGCGTAGGTGGGGTGGATGGCCTACTGACTCAACGGGCAAGAGGACAGTCCCCTGCCCAATGGTCCTTTTGGTGACATCTAGGACAAGGATCTGATGGGTCTTGAGGATTGGGGCATAGTTTGACACAATGACCTGTTTGGCTACATTTAAAGCACAACACCAGAGTATTCCTGCAGTCATTGGGACTCCTGTGATTAGCAAGGTTACTGGAGGCATCAGGTTGCTGAAAAGCCTTGGCCGGCATTTGGACTTTTTCCTTTTGGACTCTTTCATCCCTCCCATTGTATACACCTCTAGAATTTCTGCCTGTGGAGTTAATGGGCCCCTCTCAAGCTGCTTTAACTTTGCCTTGATATCAGGGAAACTCTGGTTCGTGAGGAGGCTACAACCTTTGGGAGACTTCGGGTCTAGGTTGGTATACTGGAAGAGAGTCTGTTTGAGGCTCTATAAAAAGGCAGAAGGATTTCCCTTTTTATCTTTAATAACTTCTCCCAGTTTATCATAATTTACAGCCTTTCTGGTGGATTTTTTGAGACCAGCTAATAAGCAGGTAATGAAATGATTTCTGGCCATTATGCCTTTGGGAGAGTTGTAATTCCAACTGGGGTCCTGTTTGGGGACTGCACCTGCTTCTGTGAGGTGGGCAGGGTCGGTCTGATGGGTCTCACAGGTATTGGCGAGGATCCTAAGGACACTGTGAAAAGTCAGATCATAGGACTGGTTTAGATATTGAAACTCTTTAATGTACAGCACTGGATTAGAAGTGAAGGAACCTAGTTTTTATTCAATTTGTAAGCGAGAAAGGAAGGTGGACCCTGACTGTACTGAGATAATGAGAGCCAGGGCAGACAGTGTGAGGTTGTTGAGTGGGAGGTGACTGTGCCGGGTCCTGGGTCAGAAGGGGCTGAGCTGGTGCCTGTGGGTGGGAACGGTAAGGTGGAGGGTAGCCAGGCGGCGGATTATCTGCAGGATTGAAAGTAAAAGAAAGGGGTTTTGGCTCAGGCTCTGGAACTTTGATGGGAACCTTGGAGACTAAGTGGACCTGGGCCAGAGAACATGAGTGCAGAGAGAAGGTTTAGAACGGAGATAGGAGAAAGCCTGAACATAGGGGATTTCCTTCCACTTTCCCAAATGCTCACAGAAATGGTAAAGATCCTGAATAATGTCAGGGTCAAAGTGCTGTTAAGTGGCCATTTGGACTGGTTGTTGAGGTCATACAGGGGCCACGCCTGATTACAGAGAAAGATAAGGCAATGGCATTTGAGGTCTGGGGCCAATTTGAGAGGAACAAGATTGTTTAAGAGACAACCGAGGGGAGAGTCAGATGGAATGTGAGATGAGGAAGCTCCCATAACGACCTGTGGTATCAGACTGGTGGATAGCAGGCATCCCTGAGATCACGCAGTCTGACGTGGAAAGTAAGGGAACAGAGGGTGGGGGTTGTCACCCATGCCCATTGTTGCCCGAGGTGTAAATCCCATGGAGGTTGTCGTGCCTGGTACCAGGACTTCGAGACAAAGCAGAGCAGAACCACAATCCATGGCAGAGATCGCCCTGTCTTACCTCAAGGTTTTGGAAGGCCAACGTGTGGATGGGGACCCCAGAGCATTCGGTGCCAGAGAAGGAGGTCCCTGGGGTGTTTTGTGGTTGGCAGAAATCCAGGATCCTGAAGCTCACATCCCTGAGGGGAGAACAAGGTCGATGGGGGAGCCTGGATCCGAGTCACGGAGTCACGGCACCATTGAAAGGCCATCACAAAACACATCAATAAGGGAAAAGGTTTATTGTGGGGGGTGGGGTTGAGGGTGGGAAACCTGTCAGCCTGGATGAGGAAAGTGATAAAAAGAGAGCCTGTGTGGGAGAGCGGGCCTTGTTATAGCCTTGCAAGTATGAGGGAGTGGCAGCAGCAAATCTCGTTAGAGTGGGGGTGGAGTTGACCCTTATGATCGGGTCATTTGGTCACTTCACTCCTAGTAAGCCAGGCTTGGTCTGGAGAGGGCAAGCTTAATGTACAAGATGGCTGCTGGGCCAGAGCCTAAGATGGCGTCCAGGGCTTGAGGTAGTGCCTCAGATAAGATGGCACAATTTCACTAATCCAGACAACCTACAACCTTAGTCATACAACAACAGGAGTTTACTGTAAGTGTGGGATGGCCAAAGGCCTCATGCACGTAAAAGCATTCTCACTGGGTGGAATATTCCAGAAGCTCACAAGTTATCTCCCAGAAGCTGGCCAATAGCTAGTCCTGAACAGGCTTTCTTTTGGAATGTGCATCATCTGAGCAACCCAGGCCTGCTGAGTTAACCCTTTCCTGGCTGCCTGTCTTAGGAAAATTATGTAAATAAAATGAATAGAAATTTTGGGGACCAGACTGTGGTGTGTTTACATTAAGTAATAATAAACAAGTACACATAAGCCATAAGATAATATGCCAGAGAAGATGATTTAGGTCAATTTCTGCTGCCCAGAACTGGTGGGAAGTCAAGTTCTGTAATAAGCATTACCTTTTATCCCACGTTGAATCACTTGAACCTGAGTGGTATGCCCACCAGAGATACAAAAAAGCAGTTGAGCTTGCTGTAGAAACCACTCACATTCACCAAGCCAATCACTTATAGCAGGGTGGTGGAAGAAAGTAGGTGTTTATTTTGTTCATTCTCAGAGCCTGGAGTTGGGCAGATGTTGCTCAGTTCCTTATAAACCTGGGGTTGAACAGTGTATAACCAGCTTGTATGGAAGTCTCTCATTGGTCCACAGTGCTGTGGCCTTTCATTGACTGACCTGGAATGGATGGGCTAGCATCTTCTTCTGGGCTTGCTGTGATGGCAAAGTGGGCTCTGATCTGTCTGGGGTCCCAAGGCAGATGATTATTACATACTTTGATCAGGGCCCAGGGTTCATGTGAAGCACTTCCAAATGGAGTTTAGCATTAAGATGTTAACTATAGAGATGATAATTGAATTGAGTCTTTATCTGGGGTCTTGTGGGGCTGACTTGACTCGTACACCAATACCTTAATTTAGTGACTTAATCTTTGGTAAGAAGTTGACTTGTAATCATCTAACTAGAGACAGAAATTGCAAGATAAGGAAGAGAGACTAGAGCCTGACAAAGTCTACAAAAAAAGGCATGAAGTATCTGGGCTAGGTTTAAAGCTTGCTTGATTGAGGGGGATTGAAAGGCTCATGGCCAATTCTAAGATCAATCTGGAAATCAAGTTTGATTATCTGTGTACTGGCATGAGCCCATGGCATCTTGAATCTGGCAGAATCTTCACTGAAGAGCCCCAAGAAGGCTCAGAATGAACCCAGCCGCCAGTGGGAAGCCCAGACTAGGCTAGGCAAAGGAAGCTGGTATAAAGGGGTGGGACTTATTTTGACTTACCTTAACCAATAGAAATGGGCTGAGAAAATTTCCCTAATTTCTTCAGCTAGTAGGGTGTCAATTATAGTGAAATACAGGTGGCTGGAGTAGGGGAAGGAATCAAGTGAGCTGGATTCTTTAACATGTTAAATAGTCCCAGGAAGTAAGAAAGAGACTTACTACACTAATGTTCTCTGTTGTTTGTGTCAATAGAGTCATCCCATAAGAGAAATCTGATTCACATGACAGGTCTGTCAGCCTCCAAGACCTGAACAATTGAAATGATGATAATATAATGACCAAACGTAGGGATTGTTGAATAATTGCACAAATATTTCCCTTGGAATTTACTGCTAGATTTGAACAATGTTGATTGGAACAGACTATTTTGATCTGAATTTCAGATCTTCCTTTCAAAAAAGAGGAAGTATGCAGGATAGACCCTGGAGCTGAATTTCCTAATTCAACTGGGCCAAAATGGCAGAATGGGAGCCATGTTGTAATGCCATATGTTGAGGAGCAGAGATCAAAGTAGGCAGAAGGAAAGTCATTTCAAAGGAATTCACGGAGCCAGGGTTCCAGCGTTGCAGACCAAGACATGCAGCCCCAGTCTCTAGTATGAATGTGCTGGGAGCAGAGAAAGTAGCTGACATGAGACAGAAGGACACCATTTGTAAGGTCCACACCAGGAAGTATTGGAAAAATTGAAGTGCAGTAGCAGAGAAAATAGCCATAGATCCATAGTGGGAGTGTCTCCTTGGAGCCAGCCAGTGTTGTTGCAGTGGGAAGACAGAGTGAGACAACCCCCAAGTCTAGGGGACTTGTTGAAATCATTCAGAAAATACTTAAATCTAGATTTTTAACCCTAATAGCATTTTTACTTGAAAATTAGAAATTTCACATTAATGTATAGTGACTATTTTTTGTTTTCAGGGAAAATCCAAAACAATACCTTGCTTTAATCCTAACACTTTACTACCAGGTAAGAAATTATCTGACTGTATAACATGAGTTTTTTAACCTATGAATATCGACCACTATTGCTTTTCTCCGCATTATTAATAGGTTCCATACCACCAGGTTAAAAAAGGTGTTCTTTTTTTTCTTGTATTTTTTTGTTCTACCATTTATACCCTCATAGCAGATCCAGTTTCAGATTACTTTAAATGTGGGAGTAAATCATTTGATATAATAAACACTTTGCTACTAGTTCCATTAATCTATGAAGAGCTTTGTTATAATTGTCATTTGTAAATGTCACTACCTCTGTGTAATGTATGAGCATAATAAAATAATCTTAATATACTCTAAGATTTACCTGTGAAATTTTTATTAATATATAGAGATAATTTGGTATCTAATTATATAGGGTTATATCTTCACAGCAATACTATTATTTAGTATTATTCTGATTGTATTTGTGCACAGTTAGTAATTGTGCATTGTATACTTAGAGTAGAATTTGGAGTTGCGGATTGTTTTATATAAAATTTGATTCTTCAGATTTCTGTGCTGAAATTATGTGCTATTTCTTAGAGTTTCAAACAAAATCCAACGGGTTGAGGCATCTGATCCTCTACTTTCTGCATAATTGGTCTATGACAAATCAGTTTCTGTCATATGGTAAACATTCAATCACATTAACAATGAATTCTTCTAGTACAGATCTAAATTATTTCACAAGAGTGATTCATTTTATTTTACCATGATATGATTTTAATATTTTGCTGTCAAAACAACCAATATAGAGGTCACTAGAACTGAAACAGTCCAAACAGAGTTCTTTAAACTAATAGGCTTTGAAGCCAAAGTGCATGGATTTGAATTCTGGCTCTGCAAACTATTAGCGATTGACTTTGGGCAAATTACTAAACCTCTGTGATGTGGTTTGCCTGTCTTAAAAATGGGACTAGAAATAGTATTGCTCTTGTTAGTTTGTTGTGAAGGTTGAAGGAATTAATGTGAAATGCTTAGAACAGTACCTGGCATGTAGTAAACATCCAATAAATATTAGGCATAAACTAGTTAGATAAATCTTTTAATAAAGCAAGAGAAAACCCCAAAACATAGATTTACTTCTGAAGTCATTAAATTTGATAGACATGTATAAAAACCCATTGATAGAAGTCATTGTAAATAGAATGAAGATTCATCATGTTTTTCATCTTTGATTTTCTCCATGATAATTACATTAAGAATATAGATATAAGGCTCTAGTTTAAAAATGACATCCATTGAAAAATGTCATTCTGAAGGTTTGTAATGTTGAAGATTGTTGTTGGAGTCATCAAGATTATTAATTAATTTGCCTTTTCATAATACACCCCTGTGGTTACACAGATCCTCTACTGCGGGATTACTGGGTATATGAAGGCTCTCTTACTATCCCACCTTGCAGTGAAGGTGTTACCTGGATTTTATTCCGATATCCTTTAACCATATCACAGCTACAGGTGAGTATGCTACCTTAAATCTTTCAAAGTCAAGTTCTGAGTTAAAGGTTAAATATTGTTTCTGTAAAAGGAAAACGTCTGTTTTATGTTCTAACTCCCTTTAGATCAGTCATACCATCTCACATAAAGTTAAACGTCTTGAGCCAGTGAAAGCAATTGAAAGGTCAAGGATGAGCAAAACTCAGCGCACGTTTATAGTCTGTATTTTACAAGTTCTTATGGAGTAAGTAGAAGTCACTGAAAGAGCTAAACTTTTGTTTAGTCCAGTTATTCCTTCATGTGGCTCTTCCCAGGCACAGAGACAAGTGTCTGGAAGTAAAGTGAGAATGCTGATTATTTCTGGAAGTCACACATGCGATTTGAAATAGCCTTTCCTTTGTATGCACAGGAGGGAACTAGAAAGCTCTGGATTTGATCACCTACCAGTGGCCTTAGGTGCTACATAAATTCTCTAAACACTTATGCACAGTGGGTGAGAACAAAACTGGAATGAATTGCCACTCGGTTGTTAGTTGTGGAACATGGAGCAATATTTCTAGATAAACAATGATTTTAATATTATAAAAGGTGTATTTTAAATATCTCCTTTCCTTCAGTGATTCATTTAAGGGGTATGTTCTAGAAAGCTGCATTGTTCCTTCACGACCAACCTCAAAAGGCTTGGGCAACTCTCAACACACCAAATTTTCTTTAGTAACTTATTGCTCATTTCTTAAAATCCCCCATCATTGTTGGTATTAAAAAGATCGTTTACTAATTTCTCATTAAAGTCTTCTTTTGTTTGTCCTGAAATACTTAAAATCTTTCTTTCAGCATTTAACAGCCAGATTCAAAGTCAGTGAGGAATACGGATTTTTTCCTCTGGTAAAAATCCGTGGGTCGCACACATGCACAATACCCACCAGCTGCAGACCTACTCATTTCACAGTTGTGTTGGAAGAGTACAAGAGTTTCTGTGACTGGTAGTAATGTTGGAGTGGCTCCTTCTCCCTACCTGTTGCCAGGTGTGTGCACCAGAGCTGCTGTGTTTGCCTCTGCTGACAAGGTGGCAATTGTCCCTGCCAGTACTGGGTGCATACAAAAGAGCTACAGCAGCTGCTACCTGTTTATGTCCAAAATGGCATCTACCCTCTCTCAGCCAGTTGCCAGGCACTGTTATGGAGGGGATGGGGAGAGAGTGATGTGCCTCTTTTCTTTTTCTCTGGGTGAGTGGGCATCCTGTACCCCTCAGGGCTCTGGGCTATACTCAAAGACAGTGTAGTCCATAGGCTGTCTCTCCAGCTGTATCAACAGTGGCATGGGCCGCTGCAGTCTGATCTTATCTTGCTCTCCAAAGCTGGTACTTTCTCAGTTCAGGGCTTCTGGGGTTGTTTGTTGTGTCTGGGCTCTTTGCTGTGTGTCTACACCTTCCGCACAGATCCACAGCATCTCCTCCTTCCGCAGAATCTCCACTGCAGTTTTCCTTCCAATTCTCCCCTGAGAGTGTACTTTCTTCACTTTATCATTATTATTTTTAAACTATTTTCCCCTAGTCTAGAATAGACTGCCTTGTCCCTTATTCTGCCATCTTGGAATCTCCCATACCTTCCATTGAACTCCTCCTAGATGCTCCAGTAAACATTAGGCCATCCAATCAGTTTTCCTTGAGGCTCCTGCCATGGAGAAAGTGCTAATTTCTTTTCAGATTTACCCCATTTCGAACAAGATGCATGAACAAGGGCCAAGGGAGAAGTTGCATAGAATGCTGAATTGAAGGTGAAGGGAACCAAGTGTGAATGCAGACCCAACACTATCTTTCTACAAATTTTATGGGAAAGGCAAGCAGGAATTTAGGGATAATAGAGAATAAAAAAGTGGGTTTTGTTTGGTTTTAAATAAATAGGAGACAATTGAATCTTTGTAGGGATATTGGAAGGAGCCAATGAATACAATAGCCAGTCTCATGAGACCCCCAACTGCTATTACTATTCCCAGTTTTTAGATGAGGAGAGTTAAGTTTAGGGAGATTAATAAAGCTTTGCAGGGGGTAGTGAGAGTGGACTTTGGGATCCACCCAGTCCTGTGTGATATCAGTGATGGAAGCTTAACTATTGTCCCCTTTCAACACTGCAATTCCTTTGAGACCTTCTTTCTATGGAGACCTTGGAATGACCTCAACAGTACTCCAGATTTCTACCTTCTCCTGCATATGTTTTGTGCTCCCTATTGGAGGAGGTTAGTTTCTTTTAGAAATTGTAAATACATAACCAATTAAAGAGGCTGAGGCCCAGTGTACAGATTTAGGGATCATTAACATCAAAGAAGGAATGAAATGACGAAACAAATGGGAACTTAGTAGAGAAAAGAAGATGGGAGGAGACAATCTCTTGGGACACTTCCCTGAAGGCGACCTTCCTTTTAGGAGAAGACTCTTTAAACTGGGCCTCGTGGGAATCACTACTCTGTAATTGCCTTCTGGTTACTCTTGGAGTCCTCTCTCACTGACGTTGTGTTTCTGAAGCATGGAGGGATTCTGGAATAAAAGCAGGCATGTGAAACCATGCTTGCTGCTGGCTGTATCACCCAGATTAGACCATAAGAGACAGCAACTTGAGCTTTCCCTGGCTGGGACTCTGGCTAATACAGTTGCTGCTGTTTTCTGAATGACATATATAAAACATCAAACATGCCTCTGCATTTATGTTTCTTATTATTTGACTCTAGGCCAATGATAGACATTTCCTTGTGATTGGTGAAGATAATACAAATCTTGGCTGTCCAAGTTTCAAAGCACTAAGGCTTACTGTACAGTATATTTTGTGATACTGTGATGTATTTATTGGTCTTTATATGTCATTGACCCTATTAACACAAACAATTTAGTTCATAATTATATAATAATGTGTTATATGTCATAGTCCTATCTTTATTTAATCTTCTCCTGGGAAGATATTAGCATATGGAATTGCTGTTTTGAGATTGATGTAGATAATGTATTCATTAACTCATGCATTAATTAATTTAGCAATTATTGGACATTTATTATGTTCCATGCACTAAATAAGCAAGAGAGGAGGCTGATGTTGTGATTCAGTGGATTAAGCCACTGCCTCCATATTGGAGTCCAGGCTTGAGGGCCAGCTGCACCACTTTGTATCCAGCTCCATGCTAATGCACTTGGGAAAGCAGCAGAAGATGGCCCACGTGTGTGGGTCCCTGCTAGCCACATGAGATGGAGTTCCTGGCTTCTGGCTGCTGCTTGGCCCAGCCCCAGTCATGGTGGCCATTGGAAAGTGAATCAGCAAGTAGAAGCTTTCTCTCTTTCTCTCTCTGTCACTCTGCCTTTCAAATACACGCACACACACACACACACACACACATATATATCTTTAAAAAAGAATAGGCAAGGAGAAATGAAAAACAGTAAGGGGGCTGGCACTGTGGTGTGGCATAGCAGGTTAAGACAACAGCTTACTATGCTGGCACTCCATATTGGAACACCAGTTTCAGTCCTGGCTGCTCTGCTTCCAACCTAGATTCCTGTTAATGTGCTTGGTCAAGCAGTGGAAGATGGCTTAAGTGCTTAGGCTCCTGCCACCTTCTGGGAGTCCCTGATAGAGTTCTGAGGTCCTGGTTTTGGTCTGGCCCACCCCTGGCCATTGCAGCCTTTTGGGGGAGTGAACCAGTAGGTGGTCACTGCCTTTCAAATAAATAAGATAAATCTTAAAAGAGAAAAGAAAAGAAAAAGAATAATAAGATATGGCCCTATTCTCAAAGAATTCACTATGTAGGGGGAATGACCAATTAATAGATTTACATTAAAAATACCTACTAATTTTATATGTGTAGTGCCACTCTATAAACATAGTCTCGTGGTAGCACATAGGAAAGGCACCTGGATGAGACAGAGTTTTCTTTTCTTTTCTTTTCTTTTTTTTTTTTTTTTAAGATTTTTTTATTTATTTGAAAGACAGAGTTACAGAGAGAGGTAGAGACGGAGAGAGAGAGAGAGGTCTTCCATCCACTGGTTCGTTCCCCAGATGGCCGCAACAGCCAGAGCTGCACTGATCCGAAGCCAGGAGCTAGGAGCTTCTTCCATGTCTCCCATGCGGGTGCAGAGGGCCAAGGACTTAGGCCATCTTTTACTGCTATCCCAGGCCATAGTAGAGAGCTGGACAGGAAGTGGAGCAGCTGAGACTAGAACTGGAGCCCATATGGGATGCTGGCATTTCAGGCCAGGGCGTTAACCCACTGTGCCACAGCGCCGGCCCCGAGACGGAGTTTTCTGTAAGGTCTTCCCAGAGCCAGGTGGAGGGGTAAGGTGTCTATATTTGTGGGCATTGTCAGTAGGGAAAAAGCTTCTGCAAAGGCCTCAACACAAGAGAAAGAGCACATTTGGGTAATACATGTGGTTAGTGTGAAGGCCTGCAGCATGAGATGAGGCTGAAGAAGCGAGCAGGGGCCCAACCTTCCCCAGTGGGCCTGGTGCTGACTGTAGGGGAGGGATTTTCCCCTGAACTGGCAAAGAATCACTGGAGGGTTATGAGGAGGAAGTTTGAGTTTGAGGGACATCTCTGTAGCTGGAGTGTGGAGATGGGAGTCTGGATTAAGGCTTTGGCAGTGAGATAAAGGAAGGGGATGCTTTTAGAAATAATCGGCAAGTAGAATCAGAACTTGGTGGCTGATAACATGGGGATTTTGGGGGAGGAGAGACACCTGTGTTACTCCCTGGCTTTGACTTGGGTGACTGGTGAGGAAGACATCTTGGTAGGAAGTCATGGACAAAGAGCAGACTGTGCAGAAGATTATGAGTTTATGGTTGAATTTTGAGAGCTTTGGGATATGCAAGAAAGAATATGGTATAGTGTACAGGTTAGGGGTAAAGCTATTGGTGCAGAAGAGTTCCTTCAGGGAGATGAGCTGGGGAGATGCAGTTAACCCAGGGGTATGTGGTGGTAAGCGACACCACCAGGGAGTGGCTGAGGAAGTGAGAAGAATCAGGAGGTTCATGTGAATGAAGG